TTCTCTTTCTTATAGTTGTTTGTGAAAATTTTAAATTTCAAAGGCCAAAATTAAACTTTTTCCAGTTTATAGTGTAACCAGAGTATAATTCCTATTACATTTATTTAAGTTGCTAGCCATGTCTGACTTTTTTGCAATCCCTTGGACCAGAACATGCAACCCCATGCTTCCTTCACTGTCTCCAACAGTTTGCCCAAACTCATGTTTGTTGCATTGATGACACCATCTAACCATCTCATCCTCTACCATCCCCTTCTCTTTTTTCTTTAAACTTTTCCACATCAGGGTATTTTTAAAAGAGACCTCACTTTTCATTAGGTGGCCAAAGTATTTGAGCTTTAGCTTCAGTATGTGTCCTTCGAAAGAACAGTCAGAATTGACTTCTTTTAGGATTGACTGATTTGATCTCCTTGCAGTCAAGGGACTCTCAAGAGCCTTCTCCAACATCACAATTCAAAAGAACTCAGCTTTCCTCATGGTCCAACTCTCACACCCATATATTACTCCTGAGGAAACCACAGCTTTGATTATATGGATCTTTGTCAGTAAGACAATGTCTCTGGTTTTTAATATAACTTTAGCAATGACACACATAATTATCTAAAGGGTCTGCATCATTGATCTAGAGCAGGGGTCTTCAAACTTGGCCCTTTTATGACTTGTGGACTTCAACTCCCAGAATTCTGGGAGTTGAAATCCACAAGTCATAAAAGGGCCAAGTTTGAGGACCTGCGATCTAGAGAAACAATTTATATCCAAAGTACTTTATTTCACTTATTGATTAGGGTGGAGGAACAAAGCAGAGTAAGATTTTTAAATTAATTTAATGAATTAAAATAAGATTAGTGAAATATTGAACATGACTTTAAATACTGTATTTTCCGGCGTATAAGGCGACCCGGCGTATAAAATGACCCCCGATTTTGGTGCTGAGTTGCAAGCCTAGAAAGTCATCTTATATGCCGGAAACTACCGTTATTTCTGGCGTATAAGATGACTCGGCATATAAGACGACCCCCGACTTCGGCGCCGATTTCAACACTTTAGAAAGTCATCTTATATGCCGGAAAGTACGGTAATTGGTTTGAGTCAAAAGAGATGAATTCAACAAGACAAGAATCCTCATGGCTTTTCTTCAAAGTTCCTACTTTTCAACACCTTGATCACAGCCCTGTGGACATCCTTATTCCGCAGAGTGTAAATGATGGGGTTAAGCAGGGGAGTGACCACAAGATACATAACCGCAATGTTTTTGTTCCTGTCAGGAGATGAGCTTGAATGGGGGGTTATGTATATAGAGATGATGGTACCATAGAACAAGGTGACCACAACAAGGTGAGAGCCACAGGTAGAGAAGACCTTATAACATCCTGCAACTGACTGCATTTGAAAAACTGAATACAGGATGCAACTATAAGAACATAAGATAACCAGAAAGGGAACCAGAACTACAAATACTGATAGACCATTAAGTATGTCTTTGGTGTGGTTTACATCATCACATGCAAGAGCTAGCAAAAAACGCAGCTCACAGAAGAAGTGGTTAATGTGATTAGCACCAGAGAAGGAATGACGAAAGATGCAAACAATAGTGACCATTGAGACGACGCAGCCTATAATCCAGCAGGAGATGGCAAGCAGATGTTGGTGCTTTCTGTTCATGGCAGAGGCATATCTCAAGGGGTTGCAGATAGCCAAGTAGCGATCATAAGCCATGACACCCAGCAGCAAACATTCAGTACTGCCCAAGCTCGGAGCACTGCCTCCCTGTAAAATGCAACCTATTGAGGAAAGCATTCCTTTTCCAGCCAAGAGATGGGCTAAAGTCAGAGGCAAAGAGCTAGTGACATACGCTATGTCCAGACTTGCAAGATGGCTGAGAAAGAAGTACATAGGTGTGTGCAGTTGAGCGTCAATCTGTACCAATATGATGATTAGCAGGTTACCCAAAACTGTGAGCAAATACATTGTTAGGAAGACCACAAATAGCACAATGCGTTGATTTCTTTGAGAGGTGAGTCCCAAGAGGATGAACACTGCTTCTGAAGTGAAGTTCTCAGTACTCATCTTGCATTCTGCCTACAGAGCAGAGATACTGATGGATAATGAGTTTAATAGCAAAACATTGATTGATAGGAGAGAGAGAAGTTACTATATCCACTATAACACAATGTCAGCTGAGAAATCCTTGGTTTCCAATGCATCTGTCTGGATTGTTCAACAACACTACTGTATCTTTTGATTAGTACAGAACAGTATCAACAACATTGTCAATGGATTATCACAAAGTGCTGCCTTAACTAGATAATGAATCAACTCCTATTTGGGATTGCCATTATGAAAGTTGAATGTTGAGATATTCACATATGATTTATCCTCCAAATAGAAACCACTTTATTAATATAATCTGGATTTTCTACCTAATATCTGTAGCAGAACTATAGACCATTTTCAGCAAGAGTGACAAACATCAGATGGAAGAACAGTAAGGAGTAATATGGAACACTGGCTTTCTTTATCTGAAACCTCCACAAAAGGAATATATGTCCTTAAGTAAAAAAAATCCTTTGTCCGTTGGGAAAGAATGCAATAAGGATCATCTTCATTCAAAGTTACCAATAACACAGAAACCTATAAATTGCTAACTCATACTAATCAGTTCAAAGCTCTCAAAATCTTTTGAACAATTCCTTTACATTATAAGCTAAACTAGATTGTTATTTATGTGTTTTTTAGATTGTCTTATGACCCTATAGGGATCATAGACTGCTACAGTCTATTTGATCATCCCTACTAGTATGCATGAATTAAAGTAACAATATCTCAAGGGGTTATGAAATGATAAGATTTCCTTATGTTTAGGTGACATTCACAGGCAATTGTAGGAATAGCAACCCTAGGTCCTGCTTTTTGGAACATTTTTGGCTTCTAATAACCTAATAGAAATAGGGTTATAACTGGACTGGGAAGTGAAAGAAACATACTGAGTGGCGAACGAGAGAGAGAGAGAGAGAGAGAGAGAGAGAGAGAGAGAGAGAGAGAGAGAGAGAGAGAGAGAGAGAGAGAGAGAGAGAGAGAGAGAGAGTTTGTCTTCAAGTGCCAAGAAAATGGTGTCAGTTAAATCCACAAGAGCTGAATTCAACTTGAAATATATTATACCTTTATGAAGCAATTATTCAGGATCTGAAGAGAAGTGAGAACATGTTAACTTCCTTCTTTATTATAAGGGGAGCTTTGGTCAACTAGAGACCAACTTAATGGAAATTACTCCACTCCCCTTGGTCCTCTTCAGTAAGTCATTATACATGTTTTGCTCCTTCTTTTAACCTCATAATTAATGTTTGAGGTTTAAAGAAAAAAAATCTTCATCTAATCAGTTTGTGTTAAATTTTTGGGTTGCTGTGAGCTGGTTTACAATTGGCTTTGAATGAGGCAGAATTTGGAAATTCAGTGAATTATCGGAGGTCAATGCAGATAAAAACATATGTTGAGCTTCTGATATTATATTTACCTAATTCAAACACAACAATTTAGGATGATTCTCCTGGTAATGGGGTCTAAATAGGAGGAAAAATATATGCTCCCATTACTAAACGTTCAGTCACACTAAGATGATTTTTCCATTTTCAGGAGATATCCTTCAGAAGAAAATTCTGCATGATTGTCAGATGAAAGCAATCAGAATTACTTGTGAAGAGTCTCAACAGTAGTTTATTACCATTCAACTGTTACAAGAATCTTACCAGACTCACTGCATTTCTTGGGAATGGCAAGCTAAGGTTTCAAGGATTCTGGCGGGGGAAGGGGGGGAGAACCGGCTTGTGCTTTTCACTGCAGTGCAACAATTCTAAACTTGGGCCTCTCTTGTCCTCTCCCTCCAGTCTAGGTGGAGATTCCACCACAAGGATTAGAGCTTGATGAAGTCTCTTATGTAAAGCAAAACATCTAGAGTAACTTTGATGAATAACAGTTAGATGTTCTAGAATAATAAGCCATAGACAAAGTGATATTCCTAAGAAATAGAAGATCATGCCAATGAGTTCTACTATTTCTTATTCCCACATGCTCTAAGGGGTTGGAGGAACATTCTGCGTGGTGCTTTTTAACTAGTCCTTGTTGCTGAATTAAGAAAGGAGTTGCTTTTCAATTGGCATGTCAACCTTCAGCTTGAGTATCCAAATAAAATCCAGGATATCTTTCATTTCTGAAAATTTTATTACAAAGAATTCCAGATTTATTTAATATACCGGGCAGGAAAATTCTAATCAGATAATATTTCCTGATTATTATTTCAGTTCTTTTAATTATAGATTTTGAAACTCAAAAAGCATCAAACTTCACAGACACCGATCTTGCTAATAAAATTATTAACTTCATGGTAGATGCAAATAACATTCGGTTCTCTTGTCTAATTATTCATAGCAAATTTCCAAAGATTTATGCACAAATGTTTCTCCTTAGCCAAAATTTCTGTAATATGAAACACATTGTAAAGCAAAAGAAATGATTTGATGCAATGTACCAGAAAAATTACCTTTGAATCAATATGGGAATAAATGATCCTTTTCGCAAAATATAATAGGCCAATATTTTTTTTATGTTTTCCGCAGGATGTACAAAAGTTGCTAAATCTTGATTTTTTGTTCGACCCTTTCAACAGGTTTGCTTTTATATAGACTAGAGTAGACTAGACTATAGACTAGACTAGACTAGGCTAGACTAGACTAGACTAGAATAGAATGGAATAGAAAATAGAATAGAATAGAAAATAGAATAGAATAGAAAATAGAATAGAATTGTTTATTGGCCAAGTGTGATTGAACACACAAAGAATATATAAAATATGTAAAATAAATATCAATTAAAAATACAGTGATCTTTGTCAAGCATTTAGTCAAAATCATTTTTTTTAAAAAATGGAATAATGCAAATTAAAAATAGATAATTTGATTTTTAACCTATAAAATGATGCAATTATTAAAAAAACCATTTATTTATTTATGTATTTTATTAAATTTATTGAAACCCTCCATCTTACCACAAGGTAACTCTGCACAGTTTAAAATATACATATTTACAATATGTAGCATACCATGTATATATATAAAGTTAGGATGAAGGAAATCTGCATTAGGTTTATAAAAAGTCACCTTAAGATAGACTTCTGCAGGCTATGGATTGAGTACTGGGACATTATCAGAGGTTGAGCTCTTTGGAAATCATGAATAGAATAGTTTTCCTTGGTAGAAGGAAAATCATGGAAACAAAACAGCATATTTCCAACCTCCAAAATTTTCTCCCTATTAGAATTGGATGAAAATCAATTTCTGCTCCAGAAGGTGATGGACTCTCCTTTGTTATAGATTGATTAACACAAACTGGATTGCTACTGTGAAATATATTTTGGATTCCTTGCTTTTAACAGTGGACAGGAGAAGTTCAAATTCTCCTTCCATCTCAATGTTCCCATTACAACAGACTCAATGAAGTAGAGGCTGATAGAAGAATTTGGTGTTCCAATTTAACATCCCTTTCCCTTAACATGTCAGCCTGTCTGGTCCAGCTATATTGTCATGCAACGCTCTGCCTCAATACTGGTTAGCAAAAACTTTCCATAAATTTAGGGAGATCCCTGATTAAGAATGTCAGTAAGCATAAGATTTAGAAGATGAATTGTAAAATATCCTTCACTGAAAAAAGTGAGATGAGATAACATCTTGGTCTTTATGAACTAACTGCTTGAATTTTAGATGGCCCCAATTTAAATCTTACATTTTGGGCATACAACGGTTTTAACTGCAATAGTATATGTCTATAAGCATACACAGAAAAATTGTGTGAGTGTATCATTTATATTATTGTTCAGGACAGTATTGTTAATTTTTTGATTTGGTTGTAAATCTTCCTCATCTTCTTCCTCACTGTCTTTTTTTTCATTTCCAGATTTAAACTGATACTGGATTTCATTCTGTGAAGAAAGAGAGATGAGTTAACCTCTAGGCAATTTTTGAGAACTAACTGCTTGAGTTTTAGATGGTTCCAATTTAAATTTTGGGCATGCAGTTGTTTTAACTGCAAAGGTATATGTTTACTGAGCAAAATTGTGTGAGTGTACCTTTTACATTATTGTTCAATACATTTTTGTGTGTGGTTGGATTTGGTTATAAATCTTCATCTTCTTCCTCATTATCTTTTTTTCATTTCCAGAGTTAATTAAACTGATATTGGATTTCTGGAGAATTTTAGACATACCCTTCAACAATTTCTATTGCAATTCCGATTCAGCATTTCCAAGGGTTATCTTTCACAGACAACCTTTTTTTCTGTTAAACAGTATAAAGGAGAAGTACTTGATTTCTATTGTTGATACCACATTGTGCTACAGTGTTTTACACCAAGATACTAGCATTAGGTTACATTGGCTGCTGAGAAAGCTACATTCCTTGCACAATTATGCTATTTCTTGTGAGTTTCAAACCAAACTAAGAAAATTTGCTTGAAAATTTGTCCTAATATTGTCCCATTTTTTTTACCTCTACAGAAAACTATCAGCATACAGGGTTCTACGGTGCTTTTTTTGCAGCGGGTTTTCAATAATTAAAAAAAGATTGAGATCCTTCTGCTTTTTGTTCCAAGCCTTCATTTGAACGATGTTAGAGGAATCAGAATAAAATTGCATTCCAGTTAGGTGATAATCATGTCTGATGTTTCAGAAACTACTCACAGATGAACAGCTAAATCATTTTAGTAAAATATTGATATTGACCTTAAATAATAGCCTTTAAGTCAAAATAGATGAATTCAACAAGAGAAGAATGTTCATAGTTTTCCTTCAAAGTTCCTTCTTTTCCATACTTTGACCACAGCCCTGTGGACATCCTTATTCCGCAAAGTGTAAATGATGGGGTTAAGGAGGGGAGTGACCACAAGATACATAACTGCAATGTTTTTGTTTCTGTCAGGAAATGAGCTTGATTGAGGGATTATGTATATAGACATGATAGTGCCATAGAACAAAGAGACCACAACAAGATGGGAGCCACAGGTGGAGAAAGCTTTCTGCCATCTTGTAGTGGACTGCATTTGACAAATGGAATACAGGATGCAACTATAGGAACACAAGATGACCCCAAAGGGAACCAGAACAATAAATGCTGACAGACCATTGAAAATGGCTTTGGTGACTTTTATATCATCACATGCAAGATCTAGCAAAAAATGCAGCTCACAGAAAAAGTGGTTAATATGATTAGGACCACAGAAGGAATGGTGAAGGATAAAAACAACATTGACCATCGAGAAGACACCAGCTATGATCCAGCAGGAGGTGGCAAGCAGATGTTGGTGCTTTTTGTCCATGGCAGAGATATATCTCAAGGGGTTGCAGATGGCCAAGTAGCGATCATAAGCCATGACACCCAACAGCAAACATTCAGTACTCCCCAAGCTCAGAGCACTACCTCCCTGTAACATGCAACGTGTCAAGGACAGCACACCTTTTCCAGCCAAGAGATGGGCTAAAGTCTGAGGCAAAGTGGTAGTGACATACACAATATCCAGGCCTGCAAGGTGGCTGAGAAAGAAATACATAGGTGTGTGCAGTTGAACATCAGTGTTTACCAATAGGATGATTAGCAGGTTACCCAAAATTGTGAGCAAGTAGATTGTTAGGAAGATCGCAAAGAGCAGAATTTGTTCTTTTCGATGAGAGGTGAGTCCCAAGAGGATGAATCCTGTTTCTGAAGTGAGGTTCTCAGACCCCAATCTTGGCATTTTGCCTACAGAGCAGAGATATTGATGGACAATGAGTTAAATTGCAAAATATAGATAGGGAAGAGGAAGAGAAAATTGTACATCCAATCTACTATAATACAATGTCAGTTCACACATCTTTGATTTCCAATCCATCTATCTGGATTATTCAGCAACACTACTGTATCTTTTCATTAACATGGAACAGTACCAAAGATAGTCTCAATAAATTATCAGAACATGCTGCATTTTCCAGATAATAAGTCAACTCCTGTCTTGCGATTGTCATAACAAAACCTGAATGTTGGAACAATTCATACATGATTCATCCCCAAACAGAAAACAGAATACAACACATTAATGGAATCAGAAATCATTAGAAGAGAATATTTGTAGCTCAGGGTTGAACTGTAGGGTTTTGGTGCTCCCTATTCTTGATAGTTTTCTTGCAGATTAGGCTAGAACTGATGATGTTACCTTGTTTGGTAATGAAATGTCTACAAAAAAACCAACAAACTCCATATCAAGGATCCCACAGAATCAAGCATTTCTGCCTAATATGTATAAGAAGGCTACAGACCAGGTTCAGCAAAAGTGACAAAGATCAGAGGAAAGGATAGTGAGGAGTAATATGACACACTCATTTCCATTATGTAGCCTTCACAGAAGAAATATATGTTGTTAAATATCTTGTAAGAACTCTTTTCTTCTTTGGAAAAGAATACAGCCAGGATCTACTTCATTCAAACTTACCAATAACACAGATACCTATAAACTTATAACTCATACAAATCATTTCACAATTCTTAAAATATATTGAACAATTGCTTGATGTTGTCAATTAAGATTATTATTTGTGTTCTTGTTAGATTATCCTTTGCTCTCCTACATAATTCCATTGAAATACTGAAATCCTTTATGGACTTTTTGCTGGCGAAACAGTGACATATGGATTGAATGATTAGAAAGGGTAGATTGTGGAAAGAAAGAAATTATGATATGATTTCAGTCAGGGTAACATAAAAAGTATTTATAACAGTGTTAAGAAAATTGGAAGTTATTTATTTCTTTTTTTCTTTTTCCTTCCTTTTTTCTTTATTGTTTTTTTTACTTTTGTATTACTTTTTCAATTTAAACTGATCAAAATAATACAATAGAAACCTACCTCTGTGTTTCTCCCAGGACTTCATCAGCTATCAGGGAGATCTGATTCATTCTATCAGTTTCAGACAGATGGGTAAAAGCTGGAGTAGCTGCTAGTACAATTCCCAGAGAATGATGCTGAAATATAGGGAAATCTTTGGGCACAGTCATCAGAAACTCTCATGTACATAGCCAAATATGTTCCTGATACGCCAAAAGAAATGGGACTGTAGCTAGACTGGAAAGTAAAAGAAATGGCCTGTAAAAAGAGATAGAAGTAAAAAAAAAATATCTCTATTCTATTGTAAAGAAACTGTTTCAATTAAATATACTGGATATGAATTCAACTTGAAATATATTTCACTTTTATGAGGCAACTATTCAGAGCCTGGAGAGAATTGGGAAGCACGCTACCTCCCTTCTCTATTATAAAATGAAAATTGTGTCAGATAGGGACCCACTAAATGGAAATTGCTCTGCTCCCCTTGGTCTTCTTCAAAAGGTCATTATATATTTTTTCCCTTCTTTAAATCTCATAAGTATGAGAGTGACTACCTAGAAAGCTGAAATTTGAAATTTGATGAAATTTGCTCCACTCCAGATTTGGGCTGATTTACCTCAGAATTTGAGAACTTTCCAAAGATTAATTCTAAGGAAACTTAATGAAGGACTCACAATGATCACCTTTTCCTTTATTTTATTTTATTTTTTATTATTTTTTTTCATCAACATATGTTAATTTTTCCAATCAACAAGTTGTCTGGATGATCACCTTTTCCATGTGTGTTCTTTCTGCACTTAGACATTAGTCCGCACCTAATATTCTTATGGGAATTGAGGGTTTTGGATAACTTCCATTTTGGTAGTCCTAAAAACCTAAAAGGGAAGTTGAAGAAAGCAGTACTGAATAATTAATTTGGCCAATACACTAAATCAGTGGTTCTCAACCTTTTTAATGCCGTGACCCCCAACCAGTCGTAAGTCGAGGACTACTCAACTGGTGCAGCACCGTTTGCAGAATGGGACTTTTGGCGGGCTCAGCAGGGCAGAGACAACTTGGACAATTCCTATTGGCTTTTGAAAGCCAATAGAATTAGACTCTATTCAAGAGAGTCTATTCTTCTGGTTGTTAATTGCGAAGTCGTGTTCGACCCATCACGACCCCATGGACAACGTTCCTCCAGGTCTTCCTGTCCTCTACCATCTTCTGGAGTCCATTTAAATTCACACCTACTGCCTTCAGTGACTCCATCCAGCCATCTCATTCTCTGTCGTCCCCGTCTTCTATTGCCCTCAATCTTTCCCAGCATTAGGCTCTTCTCCAGTGAATCCTTCCTTCTCATTAGGTGGCCAAAGTACTTGAGTTTCAACTTCAGGATCTGGCCTTCTAAAGAGCATTCGGGGTTGATCTCTTCTAGGACTGACCGGTTTGAACGCCTTGCAGTCCAAGGGACTCGCAGGAGTCTTCTCCAGCACCATAGTTCAAAGGCCTCAATTCTTTGGCGCTCAGCCTTTCTTATGGTCTAACTTTCACAGCCATACATTGCAAGTGGGAAAACCATGGCCTTGACTATATGCACTTTTGTTGGCAGGGTGATGTCTCTGCTTTTTAGTATGCTGTCTAGATTTTCCATAGCTTTCCTCCCCAGGAGCAAGCGTCTTTTAATTTCTTGGCTGCAGTCCCCATCTGAGGTGATCTTGGAGCCCAGAAAAATAAAATCTGTCACTACCTCCATTTCTTCCCCATCTATTTGCCAGGACTTGAGAGGGCTGGATTCCATGATTTTGGTTTTCTTAATGTTGAGTTTCAAGCCAACTTTTGCACTCTCCTTCTTCAACTGCATTAAGAGGCTCTTTAGCTCCTCTTCACTTTCTGCCATTAGAGTGGTATCATCTGCATATCTTAGGTTGTTGAAATTTCTCCCGGCAATCTTAATTCCAACTTTTGATTCATCTAGCCCTGCCTTTCTCATGATGTGCTCTGCATATAAGTTAAATAGGCAGGGCGACAGGATACAGCCTTGCCGGACTCCTTTTCCAATTTTGAACCAATCAGTGGTTCCGTGTTTGGTTCTCACTGTTGCTTCTTGACCCGCATATAGGTTTCTCAAGAGACAAATGAGATGGTCTGGTACTCCCATCTCTTTAAGAACTTGCCACAATTTGTTGTGATCCACACAATCAAAGGCTTTTGCATAGTCAATGAAGCAGAAGTAGATGTTTTTCTGGAACTCCCTAGCTTTCTCCATGATCCAGCGTATGTTGGCAATTTGATCTCTAGTTCCTCTGCCTCTTGAAATCCTGCCTGTACTTCTGGTAGTTCTCGATCCACATACTGCTGGAGTCTAGCTTGTAGGATTTTAAGCATAACTTTACTAGCATGTGAAATGAGTGCAATGGTGCGATAGTTTGAACATTCTTTGGCATTGCCTTTCTTTGGAATTGGAATGTAAACTGACCTTTTCCAATCCTGTGGCCACTGTTGAGTTTTCCAAATTTGCTGGCAAATTGAGTGTAGCACTTTTACTGCATCGTCTTTTAAGATTTTGAATAGCTCAGCTGGAATACTGTCACCTCCACTAGCTTTGTTGTTGCTCAGATTTTCTAAGGCCCATTTCACTTCACATTCTAGGATGTCTGGTTCGAGGTCAATGACCATCTCATTGTGGTTATCTGGGATGTTAAGCTCATTCTTGTATAGTTCTTCTGTGTAGTTTTGCCATCTCTTCTTAATCTCTTCTGCCTCTGTTAGGTCTCTGCCATTTTGGTCCTTTATCATGCCCATCTTTGCATGAAACGTTCCCTTCATATCTCCAATTTTCTTGAAGAGATCTCTGGTCCTCCCTATTCTGTTGTTTTCTTCTATTTCTTTGCACTGTTCATTTAAGAAGGCATTCTTATCTCTTCTAGCTACTCTCTGGAATTCTGCATTCAATTGGGTGTATCTTTCTCTTTCTCCTTTGCCTTTCGCTTCCCTTCTTTCCTCAGCTATTTGCAAAGCTTCCTCAGACAGCCATTTTGCTTTCTTGCATTTCTTTTTCTTTGGGATGGTTTTAGTTGCTACCTCTTGTACAATGTTGCGAACTTCCATCCATAGTTCTTCAGGCACTCTGTCTATCAGATCTAATTCCTTAAATCTATTTGTCACCTCTACTGTATATTCATCAGGAATATGATTTAGTTCATACCTGAGTGGCCTAGTGCTTTTCCCTACTTTTTTCAATTTAAGCCTAAATTTTGCAATGAGAAGCTCATGATCTGAGCCACAGTCAGCTCCTGGTCTTGTTTTTACTGACTGTATAGAGCTTCTCCATCTTTGGCTGCAGAGCACATAGTCAATCTGATTTCTATGTTGACCGTCTGGTGATGTCCATGTGTAGAGCCGTCTCTTGGGTTGTTGGAAAAGAGTGTTTGTTATGACCATCGTATTCTCTTGACAAAATTCTATTAGCCTGTGCCCTGCTTCATTTTGTACTCCAAGGCCAAACTTGCCTGTTATTCCGGTTATCTTTTGGCTTCCTACCTTAGCATTCCAATCCTCCATGATGATAAGGACATCATTTTTTGGTGTTAATTCTATAAGGTGCTGTAGGGCTTCATAGAACCAGTCAATTTCATCCTCTTCAGCACCAGTGGTTGGGGCATAGATTTGGACTACTGTGATATTGAATGGTTTGCCTTGGATTCGAATTGAGATCATTCTGTCATTTTGGGGATTGTATCCCAGTATTGCTTTTCCTATTCTTTTATTGACTATGAAGGCTACTCCATTTCTTCTGAGGGATTCTTGCCCACAGTAGTATACCTGATGGTCATCTGAGTTAAATTCACCCATTCCTGTCCATTTTAGTTCGCTGATTCCTAAGATGTTGATGTTCAGTCTTGTCATCTCTTTTTTGACTACGTCTAGCTTGCCTTGATTCATGGATCTTACATTCCAGGTTCCTATGGAGAAAAAATCTTTACAGCATCGGACTTTCCTTTCACCACCAGATATATCCACAGCTGAGCGTCCTTTCGGCTTTGGCCCAGTTGCTTCATTCTTTCTGGCGCTACTAGTACTAGCCCTCTGCTCTTCCCACTAGCATATTGGACACCTTCCGACCTGAGGGGCTCATCTTCCAGCGTCATATCTTTTTTACTTTTAGTACTGTCCATGGGGTTTTCATGGCAAAGATACTGGAGTGGTTTGCCATTTCCTTCTCCAGTGGATCACATTTTGTCAGAACTCTCTGCTATAACCTGTCCATCTTGGGTGGCCCTGCACGGCATAGCTTATAGCTTCATTGAGTTACGCAAGCCCCCTCGTCACGACAAGGCAGTAATCCATAAAGGGGAGAGTCTATTCTATTGGCTTTCAAAAGCCAATAGAATAAAAGGGAGTAGCACAGCTCAGGAAAAGGGAAAAAAATGGTGGACTGTGTTGTTTGGCGACCCCCGTGAAATGGTCGTTTGACCCCAAATGGGGTCCCGACCCACAGGTTAAGAACCACTGCACTAAATCATTATCTTGTAGCAGTTTGCCACAGTCATGTTCAAGAAAAAAAAAGTTTCTTAAGTTTGGGAAAAGCCCTGCATTTTAGAAATATCAATAGGCAAAAAATATTGGAGGAACCAAAGTAAAATTTCCTTCTGTGGAGAGTGTGTGATAACATCTAAGGCAGTTATGTAGGGTGGCCACTTACCTTTTAGTGGATCACAATTTAATTCTTTGTATATTTTAGATTGGCTTTAGATTGCAAATATGTATGTGTGCGCACGCGTCCATGTGTTTGTGTGGGTATGTGTAACGTGGGTATATCCTTATGCTATAGCTCAGTGCTGTCAAATTTCTTTGTAAATCTCCTTGCATTCTTCTTTGTCCTCCTTTTTTCTTCTCCAGAATAAGAAATAAAACTGACATATTATTTCAACAAGTTTTATTGGAATTCTCTGTAAGTCATTTTCCTTTTTTTATTTATACACCATATATTTTAATTGTTTTTATTGGAAATCTTGATCACATATTTACCGACAATATTTACCGACAATATTTTAAAATAATTGTAGCAGTATATTATAGTCAGCCAGATGTTTAGACTAGATTTGGCATTTTTGTCCATCTCTGGATTCCTTCCCAAGGACCTAGGATTGGCAGATATAAAAGTCCTTGGGGAAGACTCAGTAGGTGGATAAAAATGCCAAATCGAACATCTGGTTGACTGTGCAGTAGTAGTAGTAGTAGTAGTAGTAGTAGTAGTAGTAATATTTTTAATATTATTAATAATTATTAAGAGACTAGACAGCCACTTGTCTGAAATGGTAAGGTTCTCCTACTTGAGCAGGGGGCTGGACTAGAAGACCTCCAAGGTCCCTTCCAGCTCTGTTCTATTCTATTCTAATTGGTACAAGATATAGCTATAATATTTC